ACAAAACCTTGTTAAGAAGAACAAGTTTTTTTTTTAAAAAAAATCTCGAACTCGGTGCTGCCAGAGATTTACCTGCAAAATAAATTTAAAAACTAAACAAAGTTCTGGAAAAGTTTTTAAGAACTTCCGAGTCGTAACCTTCCAAATAAATAAATACAGTACATAAAACCGCGGTTTCTAGCCATCAATAAAACCTGCAAAGTTCCGGAGAAGTTTTTAAGAACTTCCGAGTCGTGACGTTCCAAATAAATACATTAAAGCCAGTTTTTAACCAACTTAATTCTAAGATATTTGCCTTCTAAACAGGGAGAGAGGAAAACGGCTGCCGAGGTTTCTAAGCCGTTCCTGCAAAAAATAATAAAAAAAAGTCTTTGCCCTCTCTAAATAAATAAATTACAGGAAAACTCCGGCAAAAGTGTTTAAAAGAACTTAACCACAAAGTTACCGAGTTTGTAAACGAAAGAAAAATGCAAATGATCGCAACAGTTACCAAAAGTCCCCCACACAAACACGCACACAGACTTACTACTTCTTCCGCCCTGGTGTTTTCTCGGCGTCTCAATCCAGACCCACCCCGGACGCCCCTTCTTATATAGACGATCCGGAGTCACTCCGGATTTCCCCAGGGGCCCGTAATCAGGAGTCAGCCAATTAGGGGTCGGCGGGGGGGAGAGAGAAAGGCGGGTGGGACCCGAAAACAGGGGAGACAAAAGCAGGGGAGGAGGAGGAGGAGGATGCGCGCGCCGCTGGCTTTTTAAATTAATTAATTAAATAAGGAGATAAATAATTAAATAAACAAGCCAACCCCACCCTCATGGGGGGGGAAAGGGGAAGAGTGAAAATGGAAGTGAAGCGCAGGCGAGAGGGAGAAGGCAGACGGAAGCTAGGAGGAAGGTGTTGTGAGGATGCCCTCCAGCAGGCAGCTATTCAACCGGAGCAGCTCTTTCTCTCTCTCTCTCCCCCCCCACCCCCGGTTGTCCAGCTCTCTTCGACTCATGACGAGCCTGTTGAAGGAGGGCTCTCCAAATTGTCCAGGCCTCAACAACCTTGCCCAGCAATGGCAGACTCAAAAGTTGGGGTTTCCTTTATAGATTCTATCCATCTCACATGGGGGGGGCTTCCTCTTTTCCTACTGCCTTCAATTCCTTCCTCAGTATGATTGTCTTTTCCGGGGAGTCCTGTCTTCTCATCATGGCTCCAAAATACAACAGCCCTAGTTTTCTAGGCCTTACGTGATCAGTTTCCTGTGCCAAACCCGACGGATTCCCTTTTGGTTGGGGAAACATTGGACTTGTAGTCCAAGGGAAGCAAACCTTTGAAGCCCGAGTGGATTCCTTTCTTTCTCTCCCTTGTGATTTTTCTCTCTCCTCTGATGACTGGCCCTGTTGTGAAATCACTGTCATGACACTGAGCCACTCGTGACATCGGGTGATGATCTGTGGCTTTCTTTCCTGCCTCCTGGGGAAGCTTGGCAGGCCAGAAGTGGCCTCCAGAAGAACCGGATCAGGCCCTCTGCTAATATGAAAGACCTGCAGTCCTCCATCTCCTTTTGAGGTTTCCCTATCATTAGCCCTTCTTGCTAATTTTACTTTATTTTTTCCTGGACACACAGGAAAATGAGGAGGGGACAGACTGAGGAATACTCAGATCCATCATCCTTCTCTCTAAAAAAAAAAAAAACTCCCAGGTCCATGAAGCAGTGCTAGGCAGAAAATACATCAGAATTAAAGAACAAGCTCCTTCGGGAACTTTCTGAAACTCTCCCCCCCCCTCCTCTATGTCTTTTCACACATAAACACTTTTCCTTAGGTATTTTTTCTTATCTGAGAGCAACTGAGTGGAGGGTGGGGAGAAAAACCCAATATTTATTTGGTGGGTTCTTTTTTTCTGTTGTTAAACAATGGCGAGTCATAAACTCTCTTTCAGATTGGTTTCAAACCACCCAGGGATCAAAGGATCATTTTTCCTGGTTTTTAACTTTCTGTCTAAACCTGCCCTGCAGGTACTATGAGGAAAGGTGCTCATCTGGACTGTGGACCGAGATTTGCGTGGATCTAGCCTTTGCCCGCATTCTTAACTGAGTCGTCATCACGTCTTCGATAGGTTTCACAAAGCAGATCAAAAGGTACCCAGGGTTGTCCACCATCTATCCCAATCACGAAACCGTGTGCTGACTTCAAATCTGAACCAACGTCCAGAGATCAGGCCATATTTGGGGAGACTTTTCCTAAATTTTATGTTAAGAGTGAGCTCTAATCTAATCTGAGGAAACTAAAAAAAAAAGAAAATCCAGCCCTAAGCAAGATAAGAATCCCGTATCTAAAAGCAGTGCTCCTCCAAGTTGTTTTTTTAAAAAGGTCTGATTGTAAAAGTACATTAAAAGCTGAAAAAGAATGGCGCATTGAAATGTCAACATGGCATTTCAGCAGAGCTGAAGAACAGATAATAAAGAAATCCATATGATTAGATGAAAAATACTGGAAGATTCAGGAAGATGGTTTTCCCTGAATGTTTGTTTTCTCTTTCAAAAATGCTGCAACGTTTCCTTTTCTTTTCGCCTTCCAATAATTATTCTGTCGCATTAAATTATAAATTGCTGGTTGCCATGTTGGTTCGTTAGCGGGGATCCCCCTTTAAAATGTAACAATAGGATAAGTCCTTTTACTAACCAGTGGTGAACAATCTGTTTCGTAGAACCAACCATAAATTCACCTGATATGCAAGCTTCTGAGCATCCCAGAACTCTTTTATCAGACGAGGTGGTAAATAGTGTGGTGTGCAAACATGCAGAAAGCTGGATGGAAATTCATTCGAAGACAGAGACCAGGGGGCTATGCACCACCCTACCAAGTAAAAACCTCTCCTAGGGAAGGCAGGGGTGAGCCATTGGGTCATAGCCCAGCCCGCCAGCCAAAATCTTGAGGAACAGGGAGACGCCAATCAGGCTCAGAATTTTTCTTTTCTATTGATGGGCTGCGGCTTGTCTCAGCCTTGAGCCAGAAGGACGTCCTTGCCTGGAAGGAGGACAAACAAAACAACTGGGGAATTTTGTCTGGAGAGTTTACTAACGGTCATCCCCAGAGAGACAGGCCTCAGCAGCCTGCTGGGCCCATGGCCACGCCCTTGGATCCCTTCCCAGAGCCTGGGTGCCTGAGTGCCTGAGGCATGAATCGCTTGGCACCTACAATCATGGGGAAAGAAAATGGTTCTCTGGAATGACATTTTGGCGGGTGGACACACCGCGGCGAAGAGAGTAAGCGGCGAGCCAGCTTTTAAACGAGTGTGCGCACGCCTGGAGATCCATGCGCCACCTGCAGCCCTCGGACTCCCCTTCTGGTGGGGGATGATGGGTCTTAGAGTCCTGAGACACAGAAGGCCACAACCTCCCTGGTGTTAGAGAGACGTAGAATAAGAATCCTTTCAAACTCTTTTACTTCCCATTTTTACCACATGGCTCCTCCTGTTTGTCCGACGTGTTAAAGTCTCTCTCTCTCAATTTTATAGTTTGGTTTTACTTTGAATGCTCCATCGAGAACTCCTCTCCTAAAATTTACGCATTTCCCCCCCTTATATTTCTATATACCACCGCTAAGAGGTTTTGTTCATTCAACCATAACAATAGGCCGTCAAATCCATTCTTGACTAAACGGTGACCCTTCCTGGAGTTTCCTGGGTAGAGCGAGACTCAGAAGTGGCTTCTCCTTCCCTTCCTCCAGGGGGCGCCCTGGAACGGCGCGGTTTGCCCAAGGCCACCCAGGCTGGCTCTACTGGCAAGAGGCCCAATGGGGAATCCAACCCAACCTCCGACAGCCAGAGACCTCAACCCCTGAGCTCACCCACCAGCCGCTAACTCAAGAGGGCACCCTATCGCCCGTGACAGTATGATCACAGCCCTTCTCACAGCAAATTCAGGCGTGCGGGCCAGCCGAAAGGGAGAACCCAGGATCCTAGCCCAAAAGATTGACGATGTTTCCATTGTGAGGCCCACACAACTGTGCCGTCACAGAGACAAC